CAGATTAAATCTTTATCACTACCAGCTCTGTACAAATATCTCTGAGGATAGCCGCTCCATGGATGAAAGACTGACTTTGGGTTGAGAAAGTGATCTGAGATACAGGTAAGATGTTCTAACAACAACGACTGCCAAGGCTCTCCCCCAAGAAATCTGGGCCCCAAGTTCACACTTTGCACAATGGAGACAGAAATGCCCCATCCGCCCCTCCTTTCATCTCGGCCTCTGCCATCAATAGGTCACTGTCGTTGGCAGCAAAGACCCCACTTACTGGTGAGAAACCCAGCCCACCACATGCCATCCTTCAGGTAGCCATAGCCTCCGTCCACTGTGGAAGGAAAGGGACACAAAGTTAGAGCTTGGCCACACTTTCTCAGGCACTTTTCCTATCCCTACCGTCACTCCACAGCCTCTAAGGGTTCAAGATATGTGAGTCCTCCAGACGTGCTTCTGGGCCCTTTCCTGGGTGAGTCCATCCACTCCCCAAGTTTTAAATCCCATCTCTGTGCTGGTGTCCCTATGTCATCTATGTACCCTGATCCTTTCTTCTGAGCCCACCTGTACATCCAATTGTTTATTTGACATCTCTTGGGTCTCTCACAGGCATAAAACTCGGTCCTAAATGGAACTCTTGATTTTAAACACTCCCTGCCACCCACCCAATGAAACTCAGTCACTGGCACCTCCATGTACCTAGGTGCCTAAGCCAAGGGCCAGGGAATCACCCTTGACACCTTCCACTCCTCCACCTTCTGCATCCAGTCCATCCTGCTGATTCTGCCTCCAAAAGGCATCTCACAGATGTCTACTCCACTGCCACCACCCAGCTCCAAGGCACTGTCACCTCAGGCCTGGGTTGGGGTAGCAGCCTCCCCTTGTTCCTCTGGTTCTTCTCTCGTCCCTTTATCATCCATTCCTTTCATAGCAGCCAGGGGTCTTTTAAGAACATAAAGCCAATTATGTCATCCCTCAGCTTATAGCTGGCCAATGCCTTCCAAATGCTCAGGATAAAGACCAGAACCCTTCACAAGCCCGTTCATAGCTTGACCTTGCGCACCTTTCCAAAGGCATCTCCTGTCACTCTTCTTACTACAGTCTAACCTCTCAAGCTTTCGTTTAGTTCTTCAAAAGTGATGAGGTCTTTTTGGCTCTAGGGCCATTGCGTGTGCTTTTCCATGTCTGGAAAACTCAGTCTCCTTAATGACATTTGCTTGAATCTACACTTACCCTCCAGGTCTCTGCTTGAACATGGCTGCCCCTGAAACCTGCCTCCCTAACCCCTTATCTCAATTATTTCTCCCTTGGGGTTCTCTTTCATCACACCCAGCTCTTCTCTTTCGTGGTACTTGTCATTTATAATGTGAATTGATCTGTTTATTATTTTCTGGCATTTCTCCCACTAAAATAGAGGCTCCACGAAGCCAAGGATTGTGTCTGTTTTGTTCACATGGTTGACTCAGAGCCTGGCGCATAGTCAATACTCAATAATAGTAGCTATGAAGATGATGGTAATGATGATAATGGATAGGTTTTAGACACTTCTGTGAAAAATTATATGTCACTTTTTGTGAATTCCCATTTTTCTAAGAAGGTCTTCAGGTTCCTAAAAGAGTTAAAATCTCCCATAAAAGTCAAGGGCTCTGAAGGCATTTTACTCTCAGGGTTGAAATCTCAGAAGCTATTAAAATGGCAGAAAATTAAATTGAACACGTCCAAACTTGAACACATCATCTTCCCATAAGCCTGCTCCTCCTGCATTATTCATCTCAGAGAACAGCACCCTCATCTCCCCACTTGCTCAAGTCAGAAAGCTGTGTCACCCTTGACTCGTATTTTACCAGCCCTTGGAGCCAGCCAACACCAAACCCAGTTAAGTTCTACCTTCAAAAGCTATCTGTGGACTCTGCCACTTGTCCCCATTCCCACTGCTATTTCCCAGGCCCAGACAAAGTGCTGTTGTCTCTCTCCCCTAACTGGTCCTGCAGCCTCCAGCCTTGTCCCTTAATCCACTCTACACTCAGCCACCAGGGATTTTCTCACATCGTAAACTGGACTATGTCATTCCCCTGCCTAAAGCCTTTCAGTCACTTACAATTGCACTCAGACTCAGGAGCCCAGTTTACAAGACCCGTCATGAGCTGGCCCCAGCTCCGCCTCTTACCCCTCTGCGCTTCAGCCAGCCTGAACTGTGTTCAGTTTCTGACATCGCTCATGCTCTCTCACCTCTGAGCCGTCGCACGTGCTGTTCCTTCTGCCTGGAACGTCATGCGTCATGCCCTCCTCTTTTGCCCTTCACCTTGTTATCTCCTCATTATTTAGGTCTCAGCTTCCAGATCACCTCTACAGAAAGCCTCCCCTAGCCATCTCCCAAGCCCGGGCTTTACCTGCCCCTCCAAAATATTGCCATAGCGTCCTGTTTTCTACATGATAGACCTTCACACTCTATGGAATAATTGCCTATTGACTTGCCTGTCTCTCTCACTGGACTCAATGCCCCACAAGGTCACTGTGTCCTCATGTCTAGCATAGCATCTGGCACACAGCAGGTATGCAATGAATGATGATGAAATGAATGAAGTCTTTTACACATGGTTCCATTTCTTAAGACTTGTTTCATGGATACACATCTTATTTTCCAAACAAGCAAATCCCCGTGGACAGAGACTCAGCAATTCTTTTGTCGCCCATAAGGGAGTTCAGTTTGATAGTAAGTGAGGGTGTGCTAATGTTTGACATTGTCCTCGGTAGAAGTATTTATATTCTATTTTGTAAGGAAGTTGTGGCTTGCCTATGACGACCCAACTGGTAAGAAATAAAACCAGGACTAGACCTGGGGCTTCTGATTCTTGACTCTAAGACTGTTCCCTATGTCCACCCCAATTCACTAACCATGAAGTTCTCAGGATATACTGGATTATAAAGGAAGGTCTCCTGTTGGTGGATTGGATTCCCAATAGGGTTGACAATGGGCCTTTGTGCCCATCTAGACTAGGCTTGCAAACTGCTGCACTGGCCCCTGTGAACCTCCCTTCACAGGCTCAGCTGCCCAGCACCTCATCCCCACCCGCCCCCCAGGAGCCTACCAGCCCGCGTGGCCCCCGAGGCCACCAGTCGCAGGAGGCCTTTCTTCTTGAGGATGACGCTGCTGCCGATGAGGAAACTGGACAGGAAGGCCAGACCCAGGCCGACGTAGAAGCTGTAGTTCTGCCTGAACCTCTCCTGCCAGCTGATAGAGGTGACATTGCTGGGTATCTGGGGACTGAGGTCACCAACGATCTGGCACAGGACTTGTTGGGAGGAGCAGTATAAGGTGAGCAGGGAACCTAGATGGAGAGACCATGGTGAGAGAGTCACGCTGGGGACATTTGCACACTTTAAAAATATTGAAATTGACCACTGTTTCAGACCCCATGCGTCAGCTACTGGGGGGCTCCACCCACACACTGAGCCTAAAAATAACAGTCAACATTCACTGAGTGCTTACTTCAGGCTAGGGGCTTTATTTGCAAGAACTCATCAAATCTTCACAAGGACCTGTCAGATAAATGCTGTCTTTAAATCCCACTTCCTAGATTTGGAACCGGAGGCCATGAGAGGTCAGGTACTTGCCTAAGAACACAGACTGTTTGACTCCAAAGCTCTAGTACGTAACCACTCAGCTACACGGAGGCCCCCAAGCTCTTAGGTGTCATTGAATCCAACTTCCTGCCTTCCACAGGTCACGTGGTCTCCAACAGCTCAGTGTCACACGGGGATTCTCCCTCCCAGAGGACTCTTCCCCCTCAACTTCAGCCACAATGGAGACCTCTGACAGGTAACATGAGGCAGCGAGGTTAAAGAGTCCACAGCTCTTTCTAGGTCTGAGGATGATTAAATATGCATGTCCAATTTGTTAGAACCGACCGTTCCCAGGCCTTACTTCTAAGACCTCTGGTGCTTGTGCACAGTGGCTGGGGCCTCTGTTCAGGCCTCAGAGGGAGGGCCTCCCTGTCACCCCATGTGGAATCTCTTCCCTTTGCTTTCCAAGCCCTAGAGTCCATGAGAGTCTGAATCAGCCCTCCTGCCCCAGAGCTAGCCCACCCTTACTTGACCTTCCGGCACAAACACCAAGGACAATGGGACAAACTTGGGCATGAGGAGCAGACCTTCAGGCAGAAGAAGCAAGCTGCCTGAGTTCAAGAAAACAGCACAAAGCATAGCCAATAATCCTCCAGTGTTGGTACTCATGGGGCCCTCTGCTCTGGGGCTTTCCATGAGCCTTCCTGTCATGTCTAGGGTTTCAGCTGAAGAAACTGGGATCTCTGTAACTTCCATAACCTGCCTAAGGCTACATGGTGGTAAGTGGTGAAGCCAGAGTTGGACCCCAAGCCTATCTGACGCCAAAGCCCATGCTTTTAACCGTCGTACACACCCCACAAATCAGACAGCAATGCCCGTGGGGTTTTATTCGGTTTCTTGAGGGTTATTTTAAAGTATGAATTTGTTACCAACATTTAAAAATCAGATTTCCCATGAAAATTCAGCTTTTGGTTAACTTGCGCGGCGTACCACCCCATTGCAACAATTGGCTGCGTTCCATAGTGCTGCCCCCTGCCCCTCCCCACCCCTACACACTCTTCCGCCCCAGACAGGACATGCTCTTTGCAATGTCCCAGAGTCCATACCCAGCTCCCTTCAGTCATTTTTGTTCTGTGCTTGGCCCCTGTATAGCATTTGCACTTATGACCTCTGGTAGTTGAATGTCTTTTTCTAATTATGTGTTATAAAGACCCAGCCCCCGGGCCGGGCACTTCTCCTTAGACCAAGCTAGAACTCCAGGCCTGCACTAGAACGGCACCGAAATCCAAGGTCAGGCAGCTCTGGCATTGGCATACCCACAGTGGCATCTTGGTGGAACTAAGTAAGTGCAGTGTTGACCTTTCTTCCATGGCACAGAAGCACGGAACAGCAGAACTGGGGGGGACAACCCTCAGAAGACAGCCCACCTAACCCTTACTTTCAGCTGGGGAAACTGAGGCCCTGAGAAGGAGAAGGACTAGCTTGTGCCATACAAAAACCCAATGGCCGCTGGGTCTGGAACCCACCAGGGGACACCTATGTGTTTTTTGTAGTGGGAGAGCTCTCTTTCCGACACCTGTGTCATAATCGAGAGATGAGCCATGAAGCCATGCTCCGTCCCTAATCAAACTCGTTCTGACTGCTCCCTCCTGTTCCTCATCTAGGACAAGAGTCAAATTTGGGGATTTCCCTGAGCTCAGGAAATGAGCCAGAGCCTGGGAGGATGTGGGCCAAGGATGGCGACTCCCACTAGGAAGGTCAAGCCCATTCCCACGCCTGTTCTCTGCCCTCCTGAAGGTGCATCTTCAGCAGAAGGAGTCTAAGGGCCCACCATGGCTTTGGATGTTTCGGGGAGGCCTGAAGCACCCAACAGCACAGCACCCTCTACTGAATCAAGTTCTCCCATAGGGATAAAAAGAAAGAGAGAGAGGGCTGATGGCCAAAGGAAATCCAGCTCTGAGGAGGATGTCATCTGACAAATGGGTGTTGAGCCAGATGAGTCCTGCTGCTCTTCTAAAATATGCTGGGACTGGGGCGTATATTCTTCCCCAGGGGAAGGTGAGGCTGAAAATGAACTACCTTGTTGGTCAGGAAACCAAAGCCAGCCAACGCCCAATCGGCCAGCTTTGAACGTTTCGCTGGAGACGAGAAGTTAGAGCAACAGGGATATCCCACAATTCCAAGATGAGGTAGGAAAATGGAGATAACACCCAGAAAGGGGTTGAGCATAGTGGTATGAGTACAGGTTTTAGAATCCAACTTCCATGCTCCATTTCCCCTCTGTAGTATCTTGGGCAAGTTAGCAGACTTTTCAGAGCCTCAGTTTCTCTATCTCCAGAATGGAGACAGGAAGGTAGTAAGATCTACCTGTCTTCTCCAGTTGTGGTAAGGATTAAATGAGATAATGCAAGTAAAGAGCCGAGTTCACTATCCGGTTCATAAGAAGTCGAAGTAAAGCCAAAGGTCTTTCCTTATCCTTTCCTGGGTTGTTCTTTGTTGCCTTTTTCTAAAAGGTGTGTGTGGTTTAGGGGTGCCTGGTCTTTGGTGTGCCCTAGAGAGACAGCCGGACTTGGGCAGGTACTAAAATCTGTAGCGGTTGTACATAAAAGGAAACCCGGGATCCCCCAAACTCTAGGTCGACCTGCTGCAATCAGCAATGCCCGCCTCCACCCGCTCCCCTCCCGTTTGTCCCCCTTTCTCCCATTGCTCCCTCAGCTCCCCAGCTCCCAAGATGGGGAAAGTCAGCCAGAACTTTGCCCCTTCCCAAGACCGGCCTGAGAACTAGGTGGGGGACAGCTCGTGCTGACCCCGCCGCAACCTCCCCCCGCACACGCACACACACAAAAGCCCCAACCCCCTGGCAGGAGAGGATTAGAAGGAGTGGCGGGGGAAGGGAACGCGCACAGTCCCCTGGGTCCCCGCCTGGTTCCCACACACCGTTCTCGCAGCTGGCATTGTTGGCTGGCAGCTCCATGGGGCCCTGGGCGCACGCACCGACGCAGGCGTGGACGGCGCCCCCGGCACCTCCGCTCCGGAGCAGGTGGCTGAGACTTGTCCCTGGCGTGGCCCGCGTGCGAGAAGCTGTCGGGGTCGAGACCCAGGGGTAGAGAGAATGACGCGCCCCAGAGGGGGAGGGTCCCCGGGGAGGAGTCACCCGGCGTCTTGGGCAACTCCAAGGGCCGGGGGTGCCCAGCGATCCAGTTGCCGGCAGAGGGGCGCATGCCCTCTCAGGGAGCGGAGGCTGCCCGGCTCCCTGCAAGAGTCACCGCCCCACGCCCCCGGCAGATGGTGAGGGGGGGGCGGGGTCCTGGGCACCACCTCTCCATGACGTTGGGATTGGCACCCATTTCCCTCCCCAGTGACAGAGTTGACGGTTCCCAGGATGGCTGGAGAGGGGGGCAAATTTCTGGCCAAGGTGGAAGTGGGGACGTGGGGGTATGAAGGGGGCCCTGCTACCAGGCCAGCGAGGTCCAGGACCTGGGGTTTTTCCTTCCTGCCTGACACCCTGCCTTATTCATTCATTCAACTGTGCTGGGCATTAGAACACAGCAAGCACACAGAGGTGCCCAATACGTGGTTGGTACTATAAATGGAATGAATGGATGCTAGGAGCTTGGTAAGTTGAATGAAAGAAGGAAATTAAGTGACTGGAGACCAAAATGAGTCAGACATAGTCCCTGGCCCCCAAGAACCTTATATGTTAATGGGGAAAACAAAATGGGATCAACTATCTAGAGGCTGGTGTTTTCCAAATCACCATTAAAAAATAGGGTGATGGAAAAGTATCTGTTATTGTTGTGTAATAGTAAAAACAGTCAGAGGACAGGAGAGGTGATGTGCGTCCCTCTGACCTGACCTTTTAAATCATGAGAGCATGTTGAGGTTACAGTGCATTGTGCCAGAGCTGAGCCCAGATTCTGAGAGACAGATGCACACGTGTGTTAATACATTCAGTTTTGTATATGTTTGTGACTTGGGGAGCCGCTACATTTGAGGGTACAGGGCTTGGCCCCCTTGCCCAGAGTTGAGAGCAGTAAGTACGTTGAGACAAGGCTTTTCAGAGTGAGGGGAATTTAATGTTTTAGGGTAGTAGGCTGAGGGGGGTGGGGGCTGGGATCTACTGGAGGAGCTTGCACACCCTCTCTGGGCCCCAGGCTCCCCATTTGTTCTAGGAGAGGGCGGGGCCTCCCAGCATTGTCATCCAGAGCATCCCGGGAGTGCAGACATAAAGGCCCCCATTGAACTGCAGGCTCCTCACTGCTATCCAGACAAAGCCCTTTTCTCCCTGAGCTACAATAGCCTTGTCAGGCAGGTAGCAGGGCCTGCAGCATTGTCTCCCCAGAAAAGAACAACAGGGTACACTGTCTATCCCAGGGAGGGCGGGTAGCTTCGGAAGCGTCTGACCAATCAGGGACAGATGGCTCTGTCCTTAACCAGCCAGGCACTGGTAAACCAGCCACATCTCATTCGGCCAGTTATTCTGGGATGAGCAGAAAAACAAATTTACCAAAACCCAAATTCCTAAAAACTTGGCTTTTCTAAGTGCATGTCTAAATGTTTTATGTGATAGAGCCATAGTGTCCAATATGGTAGCCACCCACTTCCATGTGGCTATTGAGAACTTGGCTAATCTGAACTGTGCTATACTGTACATGTAAAATAGGCACTGTTAACATTTTGGGCCAGATAATTCTTTGTTGTGGGGGGCTGTCTGGCAGGATCCCTGGATTCCACCCACTAGATGCCAGTAGCACATGCACACACCTGCAATCCCATGTCCCCTTCCCCCTTCTGACAAATAAAAACATCCCAATCAGGTTTCCAGACTAGCATCCCAGACAAACTCTACCATTGCACAAAGCTTCACAGCTGAAAAGAAATCCCCCAAATCAATACTCTGTGTGTTTTCAGTGTGGTATGGCCAAAGAGGACTGGAGGAGGAATAGAGAGTAGAGACATGAGTAATTTGAATGCTATTTATAGATGGCTTGCTATATATTACATGGGTGCTCATTTAATCTTTGCGACAACCCTGGGAAGCAGGTTCTATTAGTATTCCGCTTTTTCAGATGAAGGAATTGAAGTCCAGTGAGGACACTCAGCCTGTAAGTAGAGAAGCCAAGAATCTAATACAGATACTTGTTTTGATGCTACACAGACTGCCTTGTGGTCCTAGGTCTAATAACAGGCCATGAGACTTGGGTAGGCCACTTGCCTCCTGGCATTCCTAGCCCAGGTAAAAGGGCTGGGCAAGATGTAGCTTGCAGTCTTTTCCAGCCTTGCAGAACTGGTCTTCTGGGTAGGGTGGAGAAGAACAGATGGCTGTCACCATCTTCAGGTTGACCTGGAATCACAGGAATCTGGATGGTCAACATGTAGACGCCAGCCCATCATTCTTCTCCAGGCGGGTCCCCAGAGTACCCACTGTCATCATAAAGAGCTTTACTATCATCAGAAATAATGCTTGGAATGGACACAGGTATGCTCAGACTGGCTCTCAGAAGAGCACAATGCCCAGTGACGGGGTCCACACCAACTGACACCAACAACGATTATTAAAACAATACACTATTACTGACTTCTTCCTCTGTGTGCTAAGCACTTTGCGGGTATTGGTTCATGTGGTCATTATAATACCTTACTCTGAGTACCATTTTAGGTCCCATTTTATAGATGAGGGAACGGAGGTTCAGAGAGGTGAAGTGACTTTCCGAAGGTCACACAGCGGTAAGACAGAACTTCAAGCTGGGATTGTATGTCCCCAGAGCAGCTCTCTTAATCAAGGCACTGGTTTGAGGAGGCTAGATCCTTCTTCCCAGATCTGTTCCTGGTCCTGCTCTGGACGGTGTGACTGGGAAGACTGGGGCCATCCAGAAATCACACAGGGAGGCCATACAACCTTCTCATCAGCCCTCCTTCCAAGTTAGAGCTGGAAGGGCTCAACTAATACAACCTCCTTGGTTTGCGGATGGGGAAAACTGAGGCACAGAGGAGCAAGGTCTTGCCCACATCGCATTGCTAATTTGTGGCAGAATCAGTACTTGCTCAAAGTCACTTGAATCCTGATCCAGTACTTTTCTCTCCCACTATGCTTGATTTCTGGGCAGAAAGGATTGACGACGTTAGGGCAAATAATAAGAGTTATTATTTTCCTGGCCACTTTTTAAGGACGAGCCGGTACACTGAGGATTTCACACACATTGTCCCATTTATTCCTCACAGTGAGCCTAAGAGTTAGGTACAGCCACAATTCTTATTTCAGAGATGAGAAAACGGAGGCTCAGGAAGTTTCAGTGACTTGTTTGCCATTAATTAAGGGAGCCAAGATGAAACCCAGCAGGCAGATCGCACTGTGTGTGGGGTTCCCTCATCAGAATATCTGCCTACAGGTGTAAGGTTTCAATTTCTTTCAGAGGGCAGAGCTCACTGTGAAGAATATGTGTGGAAGCGCAGATTGCTTGGCCTTGGTGTGGGTGTGCTGAGAGCCCAGTGCACTTAATGTATGGAAAAGAACATCAGGCTTTATCAAAAACCAGCTATAGTGAAAATAGCAATACTGAGATGAACTGCTACTTGTCGCATAACTTCTATATTGCACGTTCTTCATATGTATCAACCTCTAAGCCTCACAGCAGCCCCACGAGGCACCTGAAGTTAGCCTAGTTTTACAGCTGATGACAGTGATGACTCTGGGAGGTCTGGGGACTTGTTCAAGGTGAGGCAGGTAGTAAGCGGCTAAGCAGGGATCTGAGCAGGTCCTCAAAGCTCCTACTGTGGTATTTTCCTCGTTCCTTGCTTCCCGTGGGTTGGAGTCACTGCTCAGGTCAGCAACATCAAGGTGATGGATCCGGTGGATTGTAGTGATGCTCGTCCCCTGCATCTGTTTGGACCTGTAGCATCTGGTTTGTGGGAACAGGAAGGGGAGAGGCACAGTGAACTTTGTGGTCAGAGGGAAGACTCTGATTTTAAAGAGGGAAGAATCAACCTGAAAATGAACAAACTTAGGCTCTCTTTTCCCTTTGGCATTTAAAAAAAATTGATCCATCTTGGACTTTGATGTCTGAGAGGTTGATATTAAAAAGTTCGGGGAGGGTCGGCCGAGTGGCACGTTGGTTAAGAGTTAGCTTGGGACACCAGCTCTGAGCAGCAGGGCCCCGGTTCAGATCCCACATTAGGGTCAGTGATGCTGTGCCCTCTACAGCTAAGATGGTGAATAACAGCTCAACCTGGAGCTGGTCTGCTGTGAGTCGTCGGCTATGGCGTAGGCTGCAGTGGGGCTGGCCGGTAGCTGGCGGTGAGCTTTCGTGAGCTTCTGTGAGCTGCAGTGAGCGGCCATCCAATGGCTAGGGAGCGACTACCTCACCCAGGAAGAGCACAATGATAATACCAACATGGGTCAGTGAAGCGACGTCCGCCACAACTAGACTGAAGAACAAAAGGACAGCAACTTGTCTGTTCCCCTCCCCCAATTCCCCAATAAAATCTTTAAAAAAAAAAGTCCGGGGATGTGAACTCTAGTCCCCATTCTGCTACTAACACACTGGGACCTGTGGCAGGCCTTTCCCATCTAGGTCTCAGGTGTCCCAATATGTGTAATGAAAATAAAGACTAAATCAGTGGTTTTTAATTTTTTGTGTGTGAGATAGAGGTAAGCAGCAAAACCTTGATTCCAAGCAGAAAAGTTACATGGCAGGACAACATACAAACCTCCTTAAAGAGAGCTTCTTCCATTGATTCAGAGCAGGAGCATGGAACGTGTCCCCTTGACCTCCATGCTGTGACCTTGTCATCCCCTCTCCTGCAGCAGTGATGAGACATCCCCCACCCCTGCTAGGACATGGAAGATCCCAGGTCAACAGTGGGTGTCTGTGTGGCCTCCTGGGCACACAGCATTTGCACTGGCCATTCCTCCTATGGGATGTCCCCACAGAGCTGGCTCAGGGTTCAGAAGAATGGCCAGAAACTTCACTGCATGGGGAGGCTCTTGCAGGGACGCCCATGCACTCAGGACCGTCTCAGTTTCCAGGCCCATTTGTCAGGGCCCTGGGACACAAGCACATTGTTGCCAAGTGGGTCTGAAGACTCCTGTGT